GACAAAAGACCTGAGGAGACTTTTCACTATAGAGGACATACAATTGAGAAATAAGTACATGAAAAGATGTTCATTAAAAAATGTTCATTAGTCGTTAACAAAATGAAAATTAAGACAACAACACAATATCATTACAAATCTATCAGAACAGGTAAAATAAAATATGGCTTTCAATGGTGTGGAGAAACCTGATCACTCTGGTAGAAACTTGGTACATTGCAGGTAGAAAATAATGGGTAGTGGGGAAAAAGCTTGGAACTTTTAAAAACATCTAAAAACACACTATCATATATGATTCAGCAATCATTCCTGGGTGTTTGTCCCAAATCAATGAAAACTTAGGTTTACAAAAACCTACATATATATTTTTCATTACAGCTTTATTTTATAGTCTAAAACTGAAAATAAACAAAATATCTCTTAATAGATGAATAAGCAAACATATGTGGAACATCCAGACTGTGGGAAACTACTTATCAATAGAAGGAACCAACTATTTATATAAGAACTTAGATGAATTTCAGAGCTATTATGAGATGTGCAGATTCAAAAGGTCACGTATTGTGATCCGACTTTTGAATCTTTCTTCTAATAAAAGAACTTTCATATAATAAAAATTAGCACCCTAACAATAATTATTACTAAACAGAAACCATGCTCTTAATTGAAATATCATTACCAAATACTACCAGGTGAGATGGAAACACATTAGCAGTTTCTAGGGTTGGGGGAGAGGAAGAAGAGGTTAGTGTGTAACTCAGTAGCATGAGGAATATCGCTGTAGTTATCTAGAATGTTCTCTACCTTGATGTGGCGGTGAGAGGAATCTAAACCATACAAAATGACATAGAATGATATACATGCATTATACCATAATCAAGTTCCAGGTTCGGATTTTGCACTATAATCATTTAAGATAGAAACATTGGTCTCCTTGGGTGATATAAATAATGAAATGCTTGTTTGCTAACTGAAAGGTCGGAAATTTGTGTCTACCTAAAACTGCTACTGAAAATCCTATGGGGCAGTTCTACTCTGACGTGAGTTACCATGACTTGAAGTCAGCTAACTATCCATTATATTTTTCTTTAAATAACTATTGGGAGAAATTGGGTGAAAGCCACATAGAATCTCTCATATTATCTTTTTAAATTATATATATATGCCTTATTTGTGGTGTCTCATTATCTGGCATCCCACATGTATGACAACAGTAAAAAAATTTTCTATCTGATTATTTTGCACATTAATGATGTATGTCTCCTAATAATGAATGCCAAAGTATAATGCAAGAAGAATGATGGCTCTCATCACATTATTTGTCAACTTGGCTGGACTTTGATTCTCAGTGGTTTGATAGTTTTATAATGATGAAATTGGGCAGTTATATAATGATGTGGTTTGATGTGGTCATCTTCCATTTTTACATAATTATTTTTACAAAACAACTTGGTTTTTGGAATCTAACCATGTTGACAAGTGAAAAGCAGGTGTAATTGTTTCAAAATAGGAAGCTTAATAAAAGGAAAACAAAATACCAACTTAATTCAGAAATAACTTTTATATTAAATTTTCTTCTTTAAAAACACTTCAAAAGCATAAAAAAATTCATTTCTGATATGATCTGTTTGCCAGTATTTTAAAATAAGTTGAAGCAAAACAGCAAACAAATAAACAAAAACTAAACTATAGATTCTTAAAAGGATAAAAGCTCTATTTTAGGATAGCAGATGAAAATATCAATATAAAAAATTCAAAACTATAGCCATTTTTAATTTGACCGTGATTAGAAACATGCTATGTAGAGCATGGCTGGGCTAAGACATTAAGTCTCATGGTTCATAAATAAGAACTGAATGCAAACAAAACATGAGTAATTTTTATATCTATAAAAAGTAAAATTTGTTAGAAAGTTTCAAGTATTCTAAAATAACCTATTGACATCAAATTAAGCGATTCACTTTTAAAAGAAGTTAAAAGGTAAATTCTACCACTGCATATATATTTTACATGAAACGATAAATCCAAGAAGCTGAAATTCCCCATTTCCTCTATCAAGCTCTACTTGCATTAATATGCTTTGGAAATGATAGAGAACACTAGACTTGGAGCCACAGTTTACTTGTGACCCTTTCTGAGACGTTCTGAGGCTTTGCTTTCTTCAGCAGAGGGTGGGCATATCTATTACAGTAGACTGTGTTGATGCTGACATAGGATCCTGAGTATTAAACGCATGTCGTCAAGTGGTATGTAAATATTCACGATTAAATCAACCAAGAGAGGAAGGCCCTCATTGAGAGGGATTGACACCGTGGCTGCAACAATGGGCTCAAACCAAGCAACAATCAGGGGGCGAGCACAGGACCAGGCAGTGTTTCCTTCAGACACACAATTGAAACCAACTCCACGGCCCTGAACAACCACCACACTCTTACACAGAGAATGAAACATGATGCAGAAAAACACGGGAACTGAAACTGTTCATTGAAAAGTGAAGATGTTTGGGGAGCATCTCAGCCCATTGATTTTGCTTTTATTTTTATGGACTTAACACACATCAGTTACATGATTTTTTTAAGGAAAAATGTTTAAATACAAGCTTATTCACTAAATATAAATGTATCAAGTAATAAAGAACTATGCTATAGTTATATTGACATTTTTTACTTTCTTAGGAGCACCTACAATTATGCAAAAGATAATTCCTCTCATTAAAATTACACATTTCCATAAGACTATCTTAGCTTCAATGAAATAATAGTGTACTCAAGAAAACAGTGACTCAATTTTTATACCAATTACTCTTATTCTTCCTATTAATACCTTCCATTAAATTTTACTTAAAGTACTAACTCAATATAAGTAAAATAACCAATCCTAAAAACAAAGCCTTAAGCATAAAGTAACAATTTTTTAAACTGCTACTTCAGAGTAGTGGAATAATAAGCTAAACCTATCTTCTGGTTGATGTAGGCTTAGATCAAGCCCCTGCTGATATTAGTTTGGTCACTGATTATTCAGTATCGAGCATGATTTCTAGCCTACTCTGTTTAAACGAATAGTTTTTAGAGTGCTGACCCTATGCCAGGCACTGGATTATGTACTGGGGGTAAGTATGGCCCCGGGCTTCTTTGTGTGCAGCGTCAACTAGGAAAGCCTGACAGTAACTAAGTCACACACACAATTTCAAATTGTTCTAAATGTTGTAAAGGTGGACAGAATATGAGAATCAGTATTACCTTATGAAAAGAGAAAAGTTTATTTGAAAGCCAATTAAAATATTTAGGGATAGTACTCAGCCAGATGGAGGCCTGAAATTGGCAACCACGCGTTTTAGAGAAACAGTGTGGTCTGTGAGGTTCTCAATGGCTGATTTTTCAGAAATAGATCACCACTACGCCTTTTTTCCAGGGCACCTCTAGGTAGACTTGAACCTCCAACTTTTTGATTAGCAACTGATAGTATTAACTATTTGCACACCTCCAGGAACTCCAATTATATGCTGTCTATAACGCATAAGGTCTCCACTTTCTCCTTAACAACAATTTTAAATTGTAAATTAGATGAGGGTTTACATTTCAGATCATCTACTTTGTAGTTTACAGTTTTAAACCTCCTAATCAATACTCTCCCCCCATGTTTTTTCTCTCTTGTATGCCCTGAATGAGACAGAAAAGGCTAGTATGACGGAGAAGGGGAATGTTGTAGAAAACAAGTAAAATGGTTACTACAGATCTAACATGAATGGCAAATGAATGGGAGCTGAATTCCTAAATCTAAATTCAATAATCCCACAAGTTTACTTTCTGAATGTAGTTTCTCCATCAGTAATAACTACTGTACAGAACACGTAAAATATGTCCATGAACAGTAAACAGTAAAGTACTTTACCAAAATAAGGAACAAAAAAATTAGTTAAAAAAAGACCAAGATGGTAATGTTTAACCAAGTTAAAAATGGAGGACTGAATTATAATCATTGCTGATTATGGATATCATGAGAGTAATTTGTACCACTCATATGATTTACACTTTCTCTTAATACAGCTTTATCTGCATTGCCAGATTGTAAGCTGCCTGTGGTGGGTTAGCAGATCTTAAGCATAACACCTAACACCGCCTACTTAGTAAACACTAGGTGAGGTTGAAGACTTACATAACCCCTATGAGGATTTATGTGTGTATTCAAAATTTCATCTGCTTGCAAAAGGATTCGAGAGGCCTCATGACATCAGAAATCTATAGACTATAGATAAAAAGATAACCCATTTTAAGGAGTATAGAATTCATTGGCAAGTAATTGTGTTAACCATTACAACTACAATTAGTTGACTTTCCCTGACACTCAAAGGAAGCATGCTGCAGGCAACTCTGAATTCCTGCTTCAAAGTGGATCATTTATAGTCCGCATTTTCCCTAGAAGCCAAACCAGCAGGGCACTGTGCTCACGTGGTCTTTCACAGGAGTCACCTAGACTCTACATAGAAACATCAATAGGGCCTGAAGGGCCACTGAAGTGATGTACTTGGTCCACCACTGATGTCTCAGCACAGAAACCTCCCTTTTCTCCCTGGAGCCAGAGACCAGGCTTGTCCATTGCAGAACAGCACTGGGGTATTGCAATACTAAAGGGTCAGCCTGAATGCAGCTCCTCGCCGGCAGCCTGGCATCCAGTTTCCTCCCGATGGGGTGAAAGAGGTGGGCGGATGAATGGGTTGGAAGTGCTCCGTGGTGGAGGCAGGGTCTTAGGGGCTCAGGGCCAATTTAGGGCCGCCGCATCACCCAACTCCAGGGGACACTAGTCACATCAGAGTTTTAGAGCCTGGTCAGTCCCCTCCTAGTGACAGAAACCTCTCCAGGCAGCGAACTCAAAAGCGCGGCGGTGGCAACTGAGGTGTTAGTTCCCTTTATCCGTGGATCGGAGAAGGGATCTCAAATTCCCGGGAATAAAGCACTAGGACGCCATCCCTTCCCACAGACCCGGGAGCTCACCCTCAGCACCTGCAGTCTCTGAAGTCTCCACCCCAAGTCTCCCTGCCTCCAGTGATCTGATTGCGATTCGTTCACACCACTGTCCCGTTAAATTCTTCCCGAAGTGTGAATGGCTTAACAGTTTACTTTCGGCCTTGGTCCCGCCCTTCCCGTCGAAACCCCGCCCCTACATGACGTCAGACGTTGCCGCAAAGCGCAGACGTGGCCTTGGTTCCGCCCTTCCCGCTGAAGCTCCGCCCCACGTGGCGTCACACGTTGCCGCAAAGCGCAGAGGTGGTCTCCGGGTCCCTGGCCTTTTTCCACTTTCTCAGGGAGGCAGCAGGGCTGAGCGCAGGGAAGGGAGGGTTCTCGGTAGACTGCGTGCCTGTCGACGTAGCGCGACGCCCAGCCCCGCCCTCTCCGCAAGCACGTCGGGAAGAAGGGGGTGGGGCCGCGCTAGCATCCGCGCCATCTCTTCCCGGAGGTGGCAGTGAGGTCCGCTTTCAGTGGATGGTTTACCCGCTCCCTGCCAAGCGGGTCTGCTTAGTGCCAGCCATGGAGGGCGTGCGCTGGGCCTTTTCCTGCGGCACTTGGCTGCCGAGCAGAGCCGAGTGGCTGCTGGCGGTGCGATCGATCCAGCCCGAGGAGAAGGAGCGTATTGGCCAGTTCGTCTTTGCCCGGGACGCAAAGGCAGCCATGGTATTCCAGGTCTTGGGTCTTTACAGCCGAGAAAGCAGGTGCTGGGGAGGTGGGCCGGGCTGCAGACGTCCACCTTGCTGCCCTTGGGTGACGCCCGTATCGGAGCCCACCGAGGGAGCGTGAGCTCGTCGGCGCTGCCGCGACTGATGCGCGTAGGCCTGTTCTCAAGGCCTTTGTATCCATTCGGAGGCTTCAGTTGCCGAAAAATTAGCTCCTCCCCCTTGGTAATCCAAAATAAAGACTGTAGTACATAATAACATAAGTGTAGTGGAGCCCTAAGAGGTAGAAAACAATAATGTTTATATATATAAAGTGTTAGCGAATTATATTTTCCCTAAGCTGGGGCCCATAACCCATGCATAGTCTTGCTATTAAATATCTCAACACTTCCCGGAGCACCATCCACGTGGTAGGCCTTAGAATGTTGACAGTATGGATTAGTTGAGCCTTGCACCCCTGGAACTGGAAAGGGCCTCGCGCTGGATTTCACAGGATGGGTGCAGTCCCACAGGCTAGACGCACAGGATGGGTGCAGTCCCACGCGTAGGCAGCTGTCTAGATAATTTGGGAGACAGTATTTCCAATAGACTCATTTGTTTAAATTTTCTATTTTTTTAATAACAGCTGTAAAGTCCTATTACAAAATACCTGTAGCCCATAGAATGTTGAAACAACCCCTTCATCACTGCTTCAGTGATTTTTAGAATCACTGAATACCTTATTTCAGAATACCATTCACTTTGTGATGTGGGCTGATGATTTTTATTTTGAAGGCATGGGCTGTTTTCTACACTTTCGTTTTTTTAACTAGGAAGAAATTACCAAAAAAGGGCAAACTTCAAAGCCTGCAATATTTGAACGTGTTAACATTGAAGGGAAATTAAAAAACCCGAACATATATGGAATACTCTATTACATTTTGCCATCTTATACTCTTGGATTTTGGGGGTGTTGTGTGTGGTCATTTATTGTTTACTAATGAACGGAGGTGAGAGAGGTTCTATGAGCATCGGTAAACAAGTCATGAATTGCTAGTGGAAGCAGAGCAATGGCTCTGTAACTCGAACACACCTCACTGCCTTAGAGTGCATTCTGCCTACGTGCTCAGATAATGGGGGTAATAGAGCTGCCCGTTGTGCATGTTGTGTATAATAGCAAAGCTAGAGCAGGCCTCCATGGCCCTCCATAGGGGAATAGTCAAGCAAAGTATGGTGTATTGATAACTGAATATACTACTGTTAAAAACAATGCCTAGGTCAGACAGGTATATTCGGCATGTAATGGTTTCCTGGCAGAATGTTTTCTATATTATGGTCTCATCTGTAGCAGAAATATACAAACAGGCATTTAGATAAAAGACTAGACAGATCTCCACTTGCTAGCATTCCTGTTATTAGGGAGAGAATTGCTAATGAGAGATAACTTCTAGCAATGCTTTGTATTTAGTAGTTATTTAATTTTAAGAACTTTTGAAGATTAAGAGTTTAGAACTCACAAAACTGTAATGTGTGATATAAGCAATATGCCGAAATCTGTACTAGACCTTGATTGATAAATAACCTGACATTTTATATGCTTACCAGGCTGGTCGTCTGATGATAAGGAAATTGGTAGCAGAGAAATTGAATATCCCTTGGAATAATATTCGTTTGCAAAGAACTGCAAAAGGAAAACCAGTTCTTGCAAATGACTCATCGAATCCTTATCCCAATTTCAACTTTAACATTTCTCATCAAGGGGACTTCGCGGTACTTGCTTCTGAACCTGAGCTGCAAGTTGGAATTGATATTATGAAGACTAGCTTTCCAGGTAACGTTACAGCACAGACTTCAAGGTTGCAGCGCTGAAATGAAAAGGGTCTTGATAGCTCAGAATGAGCCCTGGTGACACAGTGTGGGTTAAGCATTGGGCGGTTAATTGGCAGTTCAAACGTACCAGTCACTCTGGAAAATGAGGCTTTCTACCTCTGGAAAGATTTCGTGTGAGAAACGCGAAGGAGGAGCAATTTTACTCTGCCCTTTAGGGCTCTTGTGAGTCGGAATCAGCCGGCAATTGGCTTGGGTTTGGTGGTGGCCCAGCCCTTACCTCCTGAGTAATCTCAGGCCACCACGTATGCTATAGATATTTCAATTTAGAAAAAAACGGGTCCAGTACCCAAAAGTCATGTATCTGAAAACATTGTTTTTAAATGGGGCATATTTATTTGAATATTATTAAACTTCTACATAGAAGATAGATTCTCTGTAATGGGGGAATATGTAATGGGTTGCCCAGAGGGAAAGTGAAAATTCCCCTTTGGACTCATGCCTCGGCTTTTTTATAATATTAAATTCAAAACCATTTCCAAAGACTCTTAAATTTTGTGAAGAACTGTAATTCACTTAACACAGTATAAGCCTTATATTTAAGTAATCGATAACACTGTGAATTGAACCCAACCAATGCCCCATTTTGAGTAGCACACTCTTCAAAAGCAATAATTATACCTTAATAATTTCATTTCACATCTTTCAGTAAGTTCTTAGCTTCATGTACATTGTAATCCTCAGGGAAAGCTGCCACGTTTTTGTGCTATATCTAAACCTTGCTCTTGGTAGCACATTTGTATAAGTGAAAATGAAGAACAAACACTTACTGAAATATTTGCATTGCTTATATATTAACGGAAATTTGTAACTGGAGTTTCAGAAGCTGCTAACATTTGTAGGGGGGTTCAGTATGCACCAATACAATTTAACTAGAACACCGATTTCTATCATCGCCATTATCACTAAAATTTAGTGTACATTTACCTGTGCCAGTTCCTTTTTCATATTTCCTGATTTATTTATCTCATCCATCTTCAAAGGGTTCATAGAAAAAGTCCATTGTCTTTTAATTTCTCCACTTTTTCAGGAACTTTTTGAAACCCTGTTATATTTTATCAAAGGATATATATCAGTCTAAGAAGAAAGATCTATTAATCAGAGTACTCACGTCACCCTGATTTCATAGTGCAACTGCCCGGTTTCCACTCTGCCTCCATCATGGGGTCTTGGCTTATGTGAATCCTGTGTGGAAGGCTTTCATTGTTCTTATAGTTCACTTGGATTTTTGCCTGTTCTTGTTGGCTGCCCTCAAGTCGATTCCAACTCTCGAGGACTCCATATGTTAATGTGACAAAAGAACTTTTCAATGCCTGTAATCTTAGGATTCTTTTTCTGTGCTACTGCTGGGTGGGTTTAGGCCGCCAACCTCTAGTTAGCAGTGCAGGCCCAACCATATATATGCATAATAAATGTCAAACGATGACACTGTTTTTAGCTAACAGTCTAGGCTTCATATTAGTATCTCTGTGACTGACTGCTCACCCTTTTTTTTCATTGAATTTTCCCACTGACTACGTTTTCTCTGACCTGCGCATAAACCTCTCTTTTACAAGTATATTTCCAATCTTGGTTGGAAGAGAAGGGCTCTATGGGTAATTATAGAAAAATTCAAACAAGTTTTATTTTGTTTTAAGGGTTTGAGGTTGTTTACTTCAGTAATCCAGTAAAAATTAGGCTTTTCTTCCCCAAGCAATCAAGCACAATTTATTTTAAAATGAGGGCCGATTGCATAGTCAAATTTTAGCTCAAGCTTTCCTGATAGACATCTTCTCTCTATAGGCTCCAATCTATTGATTAATCACATTGGTAATCTTCCCAATATTCACAAATGATGGCATTTGATTGAAGATCCAAGTCTGACCACAACTGTCTTTCCATTCTTTATTCTAAGAATGTTCTAACAATTTGACACACGCATTTACTTTGTGTCCATAACTGTTCCATTAAATCTTCTGTAGCATAGTGCAAGAAAATCTCCATTCCCCCAGTTTTCTGTGGAGGGGAAAACCATATGAACCCAGACAGATAGCGCAAACGGTGCCTTTCCTCCATGAGCTCCTCTGCATTAGGGACCAGACCAGAGGAAGGCCTGTGTCGTTTTCACTGTGGTTTCAGGATAATGGCATCAGTATCCTTTCCTTCCTCTGAACTTTGATCTGGTATCCAACATTGACCTTTTACATTCCAAAAATGAGTATTGCAACGCTTTGCAGTTTCCGTCCTTCTTAGACTTCCTGGAGTACACAGTCCAACTGCAGTAGACAGCCACCCAGGCCCTCCCTGGACACTGGCGCACATGCCCCCGTCCGACTTGTCCTCTTAATACGGGGTGGGTGGGGCACAACGACAAGGCGCCCACTATGGACTTCAGCTGCCTTGCTTGGCAATACGTGTTACCCTGCTAGGCATAAGAGAAGGTAGCAAACATTCTTGATCTGGAGTCTGGATAGGCCTTGAGGGTTTGTTTTATTTTAGCCTGATGGCTTGTTTCATTTACGTGAATGTGTGCATAGGCCTGTTTCCTGGTTGTCATCAGTGTCCCACAGAATTGCTGAGCTCATGGTTGAAAGGATTCCAAGCAGGCATGGGAATGAGCCCATAGGCTTTAAAGCTTGCTGCTGTTCTTCCACAAACTTTCTTTTTCTAAGAGCATAAGTTACTGGAGAAGCCGTTATTTCTTTCAGTCAGCACAACTATACAGTAGTGCTTGGCCCAACAGACTGATACCTGCTTGGGAATGTTGTCTGCCAGAAACAGATTTTTAAAAAAAATCATTTTATTAGGGGCTCATACAACTCCGATCACAATTCACACATACATCAATTGTGTAAAGCACACTTGTACATTCATTGCCCTCATCATTCTCAAAACATTTGCTATTATTTTGTCATATCTTGCACTGTCCAACATCTCCCTCACCCACTTTTCTGTTGTCCCCCTAGGGAGGAGGTCACATGTAGATCCTTGTAATCGGTTCCCCCTTTCCACTCTACCCTTCTGGTATCGCCACTCTCACCACTGGTCCTGAAGGGATCATCCTCCCTGGATTCCCTGTGTTTCCAGTTTCTCTCTGTACCAGTGTACATCCTCTGGTCTAGCCAGATTTATAAGGTAGAATTGGGATCATGATAGTAGGGGGGGAGGAAGCATTTAGGAACTAGAGAAAAGTTGTATGTTTCATCATTGCTACACTGCACCGACTGGCTCGTCTCCTCCCTGCAACCCTTCCGCAAGGGGATGTCCAATTGCCTACAGATGGGCTTTGGGTTTCCACTCCACACTCCCCTCATTCACAATGATAAAATTTTTTGTTCTGATTATGCCTGATACCTGATCCCTTCGACACCTAGTGATCGCACAGGCTGGTGTGTTTCTTCCATGTGGGCTTTGTTGCTTCTGAGCTAGATGGCCGCTTGTTTACCTTCAAGCCTTTAAGACCCCAGACGCTATATCTTTTGATAGCCTAGCACCATCAACTTTCTTTGCCACATTTGCTTATGCACCCATTTGTCTTCAGCTATTGTGTTGGGAAGGTGAGCATCATGGAATGCCAGTTTAATAGAACAAAGTATTTTTGTATTGAGGGAGTACTTGAGTGGAGGCCCAATGTCCATCTGCTACCTTAATACTAAACCTAAACCTGTAAATATATGCACATAGATCTATTTCCCCATCCTCATAAATAAATATATTTACATATGTACATGCCTGTATTTAGACCTCTATAAATGCCCTTTACCTCTTAGCTCTTTGTACTATTTCCTTCTACATTCCTCATGGCTCACTATCAAGTTCAGCCTTCATTTGGGTTTCAGTAATTCCTCTTGGTTACGTTACCCTTGGTCACGCCCTACCAGGCCTCCTACACCCTCCTCACCACCGATTTGGTTCACTTGTTCCCTTGTCCCTGGGTTTGTTACCACCACTTCCTTTCCCCCCACCTCCCCCTCTCCCATGTCGCCCGGAACTGTCGGTCCTGTTGTTTTCTCCTCCAGATTGTTCTTCCAGCCTATCTTATTTAGACAGACCTGCAGAGATAATAACATACACAAAAACAAGACAGAGCAAAACCAAGCAACCAAAGAAAACAAAGCAACAACAACAGAAACAGATTTTATTGACAGTTGGCCTGATAGGCATTGATGGCTTATGACCCTATTGGATAATCAAATAATTACTAATGGGAGTATCATAAATGATAGGAAAGTAGTTGAGCAACAATTAAAGATTGTGTTTGTGCTCATTATGTTCCCTTGGACCTGTATGTCCCCATCCTCCCAAGTAGTTTTGATTGACTAATTGAGTATTGTTTTTTGAGTAATCATGATAGTCAGCGGGTTCCTTCCTTCCTTAGACTATTTCATTGCCTAAAAGCTTTTGCTATGCTCAGTTACGCTCAGCAAAGAAATGGTTCCCAGTTGTTGCCAGTGTCGTGATGCATTCATAGTTAACTAAGCCCCAGGATTGCTCCATGAGGGGAGGAAGGAGGCACTGGTTAGCTTCTTGGGGGACGCAGTTGAATTGCTTTACTTCGCACAGGTAGGGTCTTAGCAGTTACCCTAGTTGTTACTTTGCAGCATTTGTATTTTAAACTGGTAGTAGATCTTGAACTGCAGGATAGACTGGCGCTCTGGGGCAGGGGTTTCCCAAAGTGGGTGATAGCACCCCCAGTGGGGTGCAAGAAGGACCCAGGGGGACTGCAAAAGCAGATAACTACTATTCTGATTATGGGCTATTGTACAAAAGTTTTTAATTGCTAAGGGGGTGTTGAATAAATGTGTGTGTGTGTATGATATATATATATATATATATTTATATATATATATATAAATATATATATATATTTATTTATTTATTTTGTTTTTTGCTGTAAAGGGGAGGCAGGCCAAATAAGTTTGGGAACCTCTGCTCTAGGGGCAATATTGGTGTATTTAAGAGACT